CATTAAAAAAAGGTCGAAAAATTTTTCCGGACATAAACCAGTTACATTAAGGGTAAAAAAAATTTTTGGAACAAATTCCTGTTAAAACATGGGTGAAACCCTTATTTTTGGAACAATATCTGTAAAATCTAGGTCTATAAATTATATTCAATTCCCTCTGAAAGCCCTGTAAGTTACTTAATAACTCTACATTCTATCATTTAAAATCTTTGATTGCCCTGCCAATCCAGATGATTCGCCCTGCCAATCCAGATGATTCGTATTTTGGGAGGTGTCACACCCCCCATACCCCCCTCAAGTTTCGCCCCTGCATAAATACGTCAAGGATGCATGGGCGATACGGAAGGGAGTCGGCCTACCGAAATATGCTAAGTCATCGACCCACGCGCAAATAATGCTAATTCATGTTACACAATCGTGACACCACTCTCTTCCTTCAGTGTTCTCGTCCCGAGGACACTCGAGATGTTTTCTACGCATTATACAAAAATGTTTCAATTGCCATATAGCGATCTGGAGGTCTTATTGTTTGTCTAAGTCTGGCAGGCCTTGCACTTGGGTCTCCCACTTCTTGAGCTGCAACGTCAACCACCCGAAATTCGCGCAATTCCCTAGCTAGGTGAACAAGTTCATCCGCGGTTGAAAAGGGACATACCTTAGTTTAAGTTGATCATGATACACAACATTCTCCACGCCCCCCCCCCCGCCCCCGCGATGTTACTTTGTAATTAACCCCTATAACCGTTTTAGTATTCTGTAAGTTCCAACCCACTTACTACCTAATTTCCAGCCTTTAGGTCGTCTGAGCATGACCGTTTGTCCTAGTCATGAAATGGCCCCCAGGTGTTTGTTCCCTATTTGTGCCCGACTAGTTTCTCGGATACTTTGGTGAGCTGCTGCTTTGCGATTTGTCTTCGTCACGAAATACCGACCTTAGTAATTGCATGTAGCCTATTCATTGCGTGTACCTGGGTTTGAAAGGGGCATTCCTAGCTCTAATTCTAAGTGCAGACGAGGTGCGCGATCAAAACCTACCTCTTAGGGTGAGACACCTAGTACATCTTGCCTAAATCCCAATCGTCTTTCCGACTTGAAACAAAAGAGGACAGCATGCTTTGGAGTGTTCTATTTTGGCGTTCTGTTTAACCATCACATTGCGGATGATACGCCGTTGTTCTAGTCTTTGTTATACCCATAGCATCACAAATTTCATGCATCAAATTAAACGCTCTCAAAGTTGCGCTCCTGGTCTGAATGCAAAACGGCAGTTGGGCCAAATCGTGAAAATATTCTACTTATGAAAAGTGGTGCGACTGTACTTGGTTTTTGGTCAGGAGTAGCAAATGCCTCACACCATTTTGTAAAGTGATCAACAACGACAAGTATATGTGCTTGTTGCCGTGGCTAGACTCTGGCAATCGTCCCATATAATCCATCGCCCAAAACGTGAATGGTTCCCCTACAGCAATTGTACCCATTGGCGCTCGATTTAAGTTAACTGGTGAAGTGTGATGTGCACATACTACACAATGCTTTAACATACTTTTCAACGACAACACGGATAGCAGGCCAATACAAACTTTTTCTCACTCTTTCCTCGGTGTGAGTTATTCCTAAGTGGCCAGCGAAAGGGTTGTCATGAACAGCTTTCAAAATTGTGTCACGAACAGCACTTGGCACAAGGGAATGGAGTTCCATGGATTTAGCCTCAAATCCATGAAACTCCATTGAAATAAGTAAAAACAAAAACAAACAAACAAATTTTCGGCCAGCAAATTTCTAATTAACTAAATAACTCTAGAATGCATCCTGCAAAACACTATTATATTTATTCTTATTCGATTACACTTATTTTATTATACCTTGTAAAATAGTTCAACTTATATATAACTATTAGTATACGTACATTATTAGCATTAGCTACATATACCATAATCGTAGCTCCTATATACTTATTACCATCCCAGCAATACGTGTAAACAGGTCATGCATTTGAATAAATTAATAATAATAATAATACTCTTTACTTTTCGTCCATTTTTAGCCGATTTTTCAATTTATGAAAGAGGCAAAAAACAGCAAAAAAGTAACAGCCTTTACTTTTTGTCCACTTTCAGCTGCCTTTTCCATTTTCATAAATGGGCAAAAACAGCAAAAGCGTAAGGCTATAGGCATTACTTTTCCTCCATTTCTACACGATTTTTCAATTTTTGAAGGAGGAATAAAACGGCACAAATGTAAGGCTATATCCTTTACTTTTCGTCCATTTTTAGCTTTAATTTTCGTCCACTTTTAGCCGATTTCTACAATTTGTGAAAGAGGGAAAAAACAGCAAAAAAGTAACAGCCTTTACTTTTTGTCCATTTTCAGCTGCTTTTTCCATTTTTTAAAAAGAATGGCTATAGGCTTTACTTTTCGTCCATTTTTAGATTTTTGAAAGAGAGGCAAAAAACAGCAAAAAAGTAAGGCTATAGTCTTTAATTTTCGTCCACTTTTAGCCGATTTTTCAATTTGTGAAAGAGGGACCCTTTACTTTTCGTCCATTTTCAGCTGCTTTTTCCATTTTTCATAAATGGGACTAAAAACAGCAAAAAAGTAAGGCTATAGCCTTTACTTTTCGTCCATTTTTAGATTTTTGAAAGAGAGGCAAAAAACAGCAAGAAAGTAAGGAGCTGCTTTTTCCATTTTTCATAAATGGGAATAAAAACAGCAAAAAAGTAAGGCTATAGCCTTTACTTTTCGTCCATTTTTAAAAACAGCAAGAAAGTAAGGCTTATAGCCTTTACGCTTCATCCATTTTTAGATTTTTGAAAGAGAGGCAAAAAACAGCAAGAAAGTAAGGCTTATAGCCTTTACGCTTCATCCATTTTTAGCCGATTTTTCAATATTTTTCAGAGGCAAAAAGCAGCAAGAAAGTAAGGCTATATAGCCTTTACGCTTCATCCGTTTTTAGCCGATTTTTCAATTTTTGAAAGAGGCAAAAAACAGCCTTCACTTTTCGTCCATTTTCAACCACTTTTTGGATATTTGAAAAAGGGGCGAAAATTGGCAAAAAAGTAAGGCTATACCTTTACTTTTCGGCCATTTTTAGCCGATTTTCCAATTTTTGAAAGAGAGAAAAAAACAACAAAAAAGTATGGCTATAGCCTTTACTTTTCCTCCATTTTTAGCCGAATTTTCAATTTTTTAAAAAGAAACAAAAATCAGCAAAAAAGTAAGGCTATAGCTTTACTTTTCGTTCATTTTTAGATTTTTTGAAAGAGAGGCAAAAAACAGCAAGAAAGTAAGACTGTAGCCTTTACTTTTCGACCATTTTCAGCGACTTTTTCCATTTTTTATAAATGTGTAAAAAACAGGAAAAAAGTAACAGCCTTTACTTTTTGTCCATTTTCAGCTGCTTTTTCCATTTTTCATAAATGGGCAAAAAACAGCAAAAACGTAAGGCTATAGGCTTTACTTTTCCTCCATTTTTACCCGATTTTTCAATTTTTGAAGGAGGAATAAAACAGCACAAAAGTAAGACTATAGCCTTCACTTTTCGTCCATTTTCAACCACTTTTTTGATATTTGAAAAAGGGGCGAAAATTGGCAAAAAAGTAAGGCTATAACCTTTACTTTTTGTCCATTTTCAGAGGCTTTTTCCATTTTTCATAAATGGGAAAAAAAAGAAAAAAAGTAAGGCAATATCCTTTACTTTTCCTCCATTTTTAGCCGATTTTTCAATTTTTTAAAAAGGGGCAAAAAAGTAAAGCTATAGCCTTTACTTTTTGTCCATTTTCAGCGGCTTTTTCCATTTTTCATAAATGGGAAAAAAAAACAGCAAAAAAGTAAGCCTATAGGCTTTAATTTTCCTCCATTTTTACCCGATTTTTCAATTTTTGAAGGAGGAATAAAACAGCACAAAAGTAAGCCTTCACTTTTCGTCCATTTTCAACCACTTTTTTGATATTTGAAAAAGGGGCGAAAATTGGCAAAAAAGTATGGCTATAACCTTTACTTTTCGTCCATTTTTAGCCGATTTTCCAATTTTTGAAAGAGACGAAAAAACAGCAAAAAAGTATGGTTTTCGTCCATTTTTAGATTTTTGAAAGAGAGGCAAAAAAACCCTTAACTTTAACCTTAACTTAAAAAAACGGCTATAACCTTTACTTTTCGTCCATTTTTAGCCGATTTTCCAATTTTTGAAAGAGACGAAAAAACAGCAAAAAAGTATGGTTTTCGTCCATTTTTAGATTTTTGAAAGAGAGGCAAAAAAACCCTTAACTTTAACCTTAACTTAAAAAAACCCTTAACTTTAACCTAAACTTCATCCATTTTCAGCCACTTTTTCGATTTTTGAAAAAGTGGCGAAAATTGGAAAAAAAGTAAGGCTATAGCCTTAACTTTTGGATCGTTTTTAGCCACTTTTTTATTTTGGATTGTTTTAGAAATTTTTTTGTGGTTTCTGCAAAATAGCGAAAACATCGGCGAAAAAGAGAAGGGGATAAACCCTTAATAGTTCGTTTTTGACACTACAATTTTTCGGAAAGTGACGAAAAATGGAATGAGTACACCTCATTTTTTGTTAGTTTTTGAAAAAATTAAGTGTTTCGTTTTTCGTGCCAAAAAGGAAAGGCTTGACCTTTAATTTTTGGCGACTTAATTTTTGTTAAGTAACATTTGGTAATGAGAGATTATGTAGAAATTATTATAGTTACCACCACTGAGTAGATCTACTGGTCAAGTGGTAATCTCCTGGTGTTGCATGAGATAGAACTACGGATCAATCTCGGGTGTACGCAAAAAGCATTTTAATGTCAGGCATCGTTAATTAATTGCACCCGAGATAAGAACGAGTGAATTAGAATGGTGTTGTGGTAAGGACAAAGTGTTGCAAGTGTGTGAAGCCAGGATCAATTCCTGCTGTAGTCAAAAAGCATTTTAATGTCAGGCGTCGTTGTTAATTAATTCCACCCGAGATGAGAAAGAGTTAAGTAGAATAAGAAGGAGTTAAAGCAAGTGTAGGCGAGATGGTGTAGTGGAAAGGACGAAGTGTCGCAAGTGCGTGAAGCTAGGTTCGACTCCTGGTTGTGTCAACAGCATTTTAATGTCGGGTGTCGCTGTTAATTCCATCCGAGACGAGAAAGAGTTAGTTAGAATAAAAATGAGTTAAGCAAGTGAAGGCGAGATGGTCTAGTGGTAAGGACAAAGTGTTGCAAGTGTGTGAACCCAGGTTCGATTCCTGGTTGTATCGAATTGTTGTGTGTCGGTTGTGTCTTCATTAATTATAGAGTCGAAGGGAAAAGGATTAAGTAGAATAAAAAAACATAACCATTTCACCAAGAGTCCAGGTGGTCTAGTGGTACATTCATCTCGTGAAATATCGTGTGGGGGGAGAATAGTAGGCGCCGTTTGTGGCGCCGCATTTCCAGAGGTTAACACGGAGGAAGTGCGAAGTGTGGCGCCGAATTTCCAGAGGTGAACACGGAGGAAATGCGAGAAAGTAAATTTAGTAGTAAAAAGTAAAGTTTTTAGTAATGAAAAGTGAAGTAAGACAAGTTAGTTACTAAATTAATTTACTGACTTGAGTTAGTAAGTAAAACTTGACTAACTTTACTTACTTACTAATTTACTGACTTGACTTACTCACTTGACTTACTCACTTGACTTGACGATGGCCGTTAGTACCTACCATACATCGGATAAGTATTTAGTTATATAAAAGCAAATGGATCCGATGGATACATCGGATAAGTATTTAGTTATATAAAAGCAAAAGGATCCGATGGATACATCGGATAAGTATTTAGTTATATAAAAGCAAATGGATCCGATGGATACATCGGATAAGTATTTAGTTATATAAAAGCAAATGGATCCGATGGATACATCGGATAAGTATTTAATTATATAAAAGCAAAAGGATCCAATGGATACATCGGATAAGTATTTAGTTATAATCCGATGGATACATATCCATCGGATCCATTTTTTTATATATAACTAAATACTTATCCGATGTACCCATTGGATCCATTTTTTTTATATAACTAAATACTTATCCGATGGATGGTGGGTACTAACGGCCATTGTTAAGTCAAGTCAGTAAGTCTAGTGAGTAAGTAAAGTCAAGTGAGTAAGTAAAGTCAACTGAGTAAGTCAAGTCAGTAAGTCAATCAAGTTAAATCAGTAAGTAAGTCAAGTTTTACTAACTCAAGTCAAGTAAGTAAATTAATTTAGTAACTATAACTTGTCTTACTTCACTTTTTATTACTAAAAACTTTACTTTTTATTACTACATTTACTTAAAGAAGGGTTGTGTTTTATGATCTTGTTAGCACTTCCTCCGTGTTAACCTCTGGAAATTCGGCGCCGCAAACGGCGCCTACTATTCTTCCTCACACGATATTCCACGTGATGAAGGTACCACTAGACCACCAGGACTCTTGGTGAAATGGTTATGTTTTTTTATTCTACTTAATTCTTTTCCCTTCGACTCTATAATTAATGAAGACACAACCGATACACAACAATTTGATACAACCAGGAATCGAACCTGGGTTCACACACTTGCAACACTTTGTCCTTACCACTAGACCATCTCGCCTTCACTTGCTTAACTCATTTTTATTCTACTTAACTCTTTCTCGTCTCGGATGGAATTAACAGCGACACCCGACATTAAAATGCTACCGATACACAACAATTTGATACAACCAGGAATCGAACCTGGGTTCACACACTTGCAACACTTTGTCCTTACCACTAGACCATCTCGCCTTCACTTGCTTAACTCATTTTTATTCTAACTAACTCTTTCTCGTCTCGGATGGAATTAACCAGCGACACCCGAC